AGCATCCCTTTCTAATTAGAACTCTGAAGAAAATAAGCATAGGTGGCACATTTCTTAAATTGAAGCCATCTATGACAAACCGACAGTTAATATTATGCTGAATGGAGTAAAACTGAAAATTTTCCCACTTAGAACTGCAACCAGACAAGGCTATCCTCTGTTACCACTACTATTCAACATAGTGCTGGAAGTTCTAGCCCATACAATCAGGCAAGAGAAGGAAATAAAGGGCATCCCAATGGGGGCAGAGAAGGTCATATCTGTCTTTGCTGATGATATGATCTTATACTTAGAGAACCCCAAAGACTCAAACCCAAGACTACTGGAAGTGATCAAAAAATACAGTAAAGTTTAAGGATATAAAATCAATGTCCAGCTCAACACCTGTAGCTCAGTGAGTAAGGCGCCAACCACATACACCAAAGTTGGCAGGTTCGAGCCCAGCTTGAGCCTGTTAAACAACAATGATAACTGCAACCAAAAAATAGCCAGGCATTATAGTGGGTGCCTGTAGTCCCAACTACTCGGGAGGCTGAGGCAAGAGAATCTCTTAAGCCCAAGAGTTGGAAGTTGCTGTGGCACCATGGCATTCTACCAAGGGCAACATAGTGAGACTCTGTCTCAAAAAAAAAAAAAAATCAATGTCCACAAATCTCAGAAGCCTTTGTATATGCCAATAACAGCTATGAGGGGAAGCTAATCAATGACACAATTCCCTTCACAGTAGCTTCAAAGACAATGAAATGCCTAGGAATATACCTAACATTGTTAAAATGTCTATACTTCCCAAAGCAATCTAAAAATTCAATGCAATCCCCATTAAAATGCCAACATCATACTTTCAAGACTTGGAAAAAATAATTCTTCATTTTGTATGGAACCAGTAAAAAACCTGTATAGCCAAGGCAATTATTAGGAATGAAAAATAAGCTGGAAGTGTCAGCCTACCAGACTTTAGGCTATACTACAAGGCTATAGTGATCAAAACAGCATGATATTGGTACAAAAATAGAGGCATAGACATCTGGAACTGAATAGAAACCCATGAAATGAAATAAACATCCTACAGCCACCTGATATTTGATAAATGGAGTATCTGTTTTAAACATGCATCATACATTAGGGTTCCACATAGGAACTAATCTGAGAAAGGAGTCGCCACTCTCAACATGCCTCAAAGCCACGGCATCGATGCATTTGCCCTGCTCGGGCCACACACCTCAGAACCTTCCTAATACGCCTCTTCCTTCAGTGGGAACCTCCAAACATACTCTGATTTCATCTATCAATCCTGACCTGCCACCCAACCCTCCAGCGTGACCCCACATTGGGCCCACCCTTCAGGCTTCTGTGGGCTACATATTAAATGCACACACACAAGGGAAAGCTGATGACAGCAGACAGGCCCATGAACAATTTTCATGTCTGGCCCCTCAGAAGACAGAACAGTCTTCATGTAACCTGGGGCCACTGGCTGACACACCTGCCAGGGTGACCCCTTTATGCCAGGGGATTATTCCAATGCACTGATTAAAACTGTATAATGGCTCCCCTTTCTTACCCAGAATAACATAAAGAAGTCCTTATTGTGACCCACTGGGTTTAATGTGACCATGACTGCCTCTGACTTGATCTCCCTTGGTCCGCATGTCACTGAACCCGGCCCTCTGCTCCTGCAGACTTGTCCACTCTGCGAAGACCCATGTCCTTACTCCCTGCTCCCCTCAGACACCTGTCTGGCAGAGTTGCAGGTGTGTGGTATAAACAAGTCTAGGGACCCAACATATAACACAAAGGCTGTAGGTAAGAAACTTGTTCCAGAGACAGTATTTAAACTAAGTGCGTAGGCTTTAGCTACTCTTCCCACAAAAACAATAAAGAAACAAAAAAACAGGGGTAACAATGTGGGATGATTTATCAATTTGCTTCCCTATAGCGACCTTTTAGCCATCTGTATGCATTCTATACCATGTTGTATACCTTAAATATGCACAAAAAAATTTCTTTTTTTAAAAAATGCCTGTTAATAGGTTCCATTTAGCATCCAACTCATATTCTGATTTAAATGACCAAATAATTGTCATGTAGAAATAAAGGGAACCATTTAGGAATATTTGAAGGTGTTAGAGATTTTAAATGTCATCAAAATAAAACAATCTTTTCCAAAGCTTGAACTCTTTACACATTTAAAAATACAGCTGACATATCATAAATAAGTTTTCAAAGTTTACTGCCCAGTTAAGAATGGCTTGAGTGCATTTTGTTTTGTTTTATTTTGTTCAACACAAGATTTTCACAACAACCTAACCAACAAATTTCTTTACAATTTTCTGAATTTTTTTTGTCTTTTTATGATCTTATTTTTCCCAATTAAACACCACTTCTTTTGCAATTGGCTGGTGTTTTTATGTGGTTCCTGCCAGCTACACTTCAAAATACAGAGATAGGTGCTTGGTGAGACTTGTTTCAATTTTGATGAGACAGAAGAAGTCAATATTCCACTTACATCACCCTGAAGAATAGCTAATCACCAGAATGAAGGAACTCATTTTGAACTTTAATGTGATTTTACAATATTATCATAACATGGTACTTGGCTGTCACCTCATAAATTTGATAAACTTTAGTTCTCATCATTTCTTGCTTCTTGAAGGGCTCAGCGTGCTGCCCTGAAATTTACAAAACTAAGAGAGGGGAAGTGAGGATAATAAAAGAATTACTGTAGTCATAATATTCATAAACTAAATAATCAAGACTACTTATTGACAAAGATTTTGGGAGTGAGACTTCAATTATGGGTGAAAAGGAAGGCAGGACAAAGTAGGGCACAGTGATGTTCTTAATTTTTTCTCTGGGTTCTGCAGTTCTAACCCTAGAGTTGCTTTTATTGATACTAGAATCATGTAAACAAGTGTCAGTGACACAACTAAAATAAAATAAAAGAGAAAGGGCATAAAACAGATACTTTACATTGGGCTCAAACCCAAGTGCAACGCAGCAAATTTCTTTTTATTAATAATATTCATGTTTTATTGAAAATGACTTTTTAAAAAGTCTTCCTCCAAACACATGAACCTTGAATGAATCCTCTCCTAGTCTCATAGATGTTCAGTCACTCATCAAAGATCAGTGGAGATGAATCTGTTTCCTTCTCTCCACCTCAGCCTTGGCAGGTCTGCACTGGTCCGCCTGCCTGCGCTCCGTGTGATTCTTCTAAATTCTCAGTCTGATTACAGTTTCATTGGCTCCCTACTTCCTGCAGGGTAAATTTCCAGAGTAAATTTGCTTAGGGCTATGAGACTCCTTTAAGAGCCAGCCCTGCTCACCTGCCCGGCACACCCTCCTCCAAGACAGCAGCGCTGCCACCAGCTTGCAACCCTGGACAGGCTTTGCAGACCGGAAATGTTTTCATGGCGAAAGCAGTGTTTTCAATTGTATTTTCATTCCCAGTACTGAGCACCAGCAATGAGGGCTATTTCACCTTCCTGCCGTCTCCCACATTCTGTTTTCTCTGCTCTTGTCTCTTTTATTGCGCCTGGTGAACTTTAATTCCTGTAAGTTTTAAGCACATCGACTTCTTAGTGAAACTCCCTGACACAGCCCTACAAAAATGTACCTGCTCTCTTTGGGAGTCTGCGGGTTACACACTGGAGAGGCTCTGTAGGTTTGTTCTGAAGTTGAATTTGTATGTAAATTGGAACAGGCACATTTACCCTTTACCTGTAATAGCTTCCGTTTGTGAGTGTGAAGGGACCTGGGTCAGATGTTCGTAACTCAGGACCACCTGCGTGATAACTGTGTTTCCCTGTCTGCTCCCATGCTAAAGTGTGAGCACTCTAAAGGCAAAATGTGTCTTAAAATCTTTGTCTATGGAGGATCTGGGGCAGTTTCTAAAACATTATTTTAATGTGGCCAGCACTATTCTAAGGACTTCCCATTATGCTTTTTAATGAAACAAGTTTACAACAAATTCATATTTAAAAATTAAAATAAGTTCATAAACATTTTTACAAAAAAAAAATCTCACTTGCAAGGTATCCAAATATTGAATCATCTTTGGGGATTCAGAAAATAAAGTAACAAGCATTTAAATGGCACAAATGGCAACAGCTATTTAGAGCAGTGGAGGGACCCAGTGGCAGGGCCCTGGAGTCTTTCCAAGTACACAGCTTGTGAATTTGCTAGGACCAGCTAATAAAGTATAAAGCACCACCATCAGAGTAATATTGCAGTTTTTATTTATTTATGTCCTTCTTTTTATTTCAGATTAATATAAGGATACACACAATTAGGTTACATTCTTTGCATTTGTTAGGTGAAGTCCAAGTTGCAGTTGAGACCCTCACTCAGGAGGGGTGCCACTTACCCCAACATTGTGCCTGATAGGAGATCTCACCAGTCTCCCTCCTCCTCCCTGCTTCTTGAATTTAAATCTGTTTTTCTGTTGTGGGGCACATAGTTACACATCTACTAGTTTCATATTAATGTTGAATACATGGAACGCTTGCTTTTCCATTCTGGTGATAGTAATGGGGATGTTGCTCTTTTTAAAACAAGCCACTAAGAAATTTTTAAAGATAAAGACAATTTTAAAAATATCATATTAAAATCTTTTATTTTTACTCAAGTAAACTAGTAAGAATATTGTGTCATCTTGTTGTTAAACGCTCCCTTGTTTAAATGATATGAGATATTAATTATAATTTACCTTTTAAAAGTGATTCTTTGTATTTCACTACCAAAATTTGAAATTGCCAATGTCAGACCAAATGCAGTGGGAAGGTACCTTCACTTGGTGTCACCGTCAGTACAACCTTCAGTGTGACAAGGTGTTGAGAGGGGGCATGCAGATTAAGACTTAGGATCCTTTCAAGATCTGGGTTATCCCCGTTATTCAGCAGCATCAATTATTTTCATGGAGGAGCCTAGTGAGCACATTAAAGGGGAACCATAATGTAGTTTTTATTGTCTAAATATTTTCTTTCTTTCTATTACCACAGACCAGTTGAATTTTCAGAAGCTGAATACCCACAAACTGAGTATGAGCGACGACAGCAGTTCTGGGACCCTATCCGGCTGTCCCTTTTCACCCTGGTGATTGCAGCTATAATAGGAATTGCCATTGGCATCGTTACTCATTTTGTGGTCGAGGGTAAGTGCTCCAGTCACACTTCTATTGCTGAGTGCTCCCTGACCTTGACGTTCTCTGCCGTACATGTAAAAGTGACACTTGCTTGATGTTGACAGTTGAATCACTGATCTTTTTTCTTTTTCTAGTTGTTTTTTCCCAGCTTTATTAGGGTATAACTGACAAACAGATTGTGTCTATTGAAGGTGTACAACTTAATATTTTGATATACATATAAATTGTGAAGTGGTTATCATAATCAAGCTAATTAAACAATTTAATTATCTCATATAATTACCTATTACATGTGTGGTACGACATACCTGTGTAGTATATTTCAAGTATATAATGCAGTATTGTAAACTGCAGTCGCTATGTTGCACAGTAGGTCTGCAGAATTTATTCACCCTGCTAGTTGAAACTTTACGTTCTTTGACTGACATGTCCTCATTCCCCAGCAGCTCTCCAACCCCTGGCGACCATCACTGCAATCATGCGGTGTCTGTCTTTCCGGGTCTGGCGTATTTCACTCAGCATCACAGTTCATTCACATTGTCACATATGGCAGGATTTCCTTCCTTTTAAAGGCTGAATAATGTTTCATTGGATGTATATGCTACAATTTTTTCATCCGTTCATCTCTTTACAGACATTGGGTTGTTTGTATACCTTGGTTATTGTGAATAATGTTGCAGGAATCACTGATCTTTTTTTGGTGCTAAATCAGAGTTTGCTCTTGTACTGGGCTCTGAGTTCCATGTCTCCACCCATGGAAGTTGGCAGTTACATTACATTGATAGAAATGTTTAAAAGAAGCACTGGAAAAAATGAAAGAAGAATGAAAACATCATCTTTAGAATAAAGTCAAATCACATCGTGTGCTGAGTTTAATACATGTACACTTTGCTCAGAATCAGCATATTAATAAGTTATCTCAAGAAAAGTTCATGATATAAGAATGATTACCTGAAAAAAAAGCCTTTAAAAGGCTAAAGATCAAGCCCCTTAACAATATTTTTAAAGAAAAGACTAGATTATTTTATGCTGAGGAAAAGAAAATGCTCTGAATTAATTCCTAATTACATGCAGAAATGGATAGTTGGTGCCATGGTCAAGCCAAATGACAGTCAGCCAAGGTGCCTTTGCCCTTGTCTTCCATTTGTTTGGTGACTGACACTTTGTCGAAGATTTTAGGCACTCAGATCAGTCATAAAAATAAAGCTACGTTTGAAGGACCTCCAAAGAATAAAGGAAACATTGCCCACCACACCCACTTACCTTCATATCCACTCCACTGAGGATAATACCTTTTCCAGAGGTATTATTATTGATAATATCTGTTTCTTGGACTCTCATAAAAAAATGAAAGCATAATTAACTGACAAAAGTATTCTATAATAGACATACTCCTACCTAACAATGTGAATGTTACTTTCTTTGCATTATTACTATTATTATTGCTTAATATTTCATTGCAGCAATCGTCTGATTTCTTTTCTGAATGTATTTATCTTCATTTGTTCTTTATGAGGTTTTTGTTCTCAGTCCTTATGTTAAACATTGTTATTATCATTAAATTTAGCCTTTTTAATTCTGTGAAGGCAAAAGTGGAAACTTACTATACACATGTATAAGTAAGAAAAAAAAATGAAAGCATAAGCCAAGTTGTCCTCTGCAATTTGTCTTTCTTTGTTTTCTTTAGGTTATGTTTCTTGTTAACATTTCTTTAGTAATGAAGTGGTTTTTTTGTTTAAAATGCCTTTCATCCAAAATGCTTCAGGTGTTCAAAAAAGAAAAATGAAGGGATAATAAAAATAATGTCCAAAAAGCATTTTTAAGAAAAATCATAGGATAAATAATGACCCATCCCCATTCCTAAAATTTCCATATCCTAATCCTCAGGATCTGTGAATAGTACCTTTACAGCAAAAGGAACTTTTCAAGAGGACATTAAATTAAGAACTTTATTTTTAATTTCAGAGTATTAGGAGGTACCTATGATTTGCACCTCCTAAATGAGTCAAGATTATAAAGATTTACCCTGACAGTGTGCACCATACCCAGTAGGTGTAAATTTATCCACACCCTCCCCCCAGTTGGTTTCCATTGAGATTTACTTCCCTATGTACACTTAAATGTTGATTGATCAGATCCTACCTAGTATTGAGTGTAAGTGGTTATTTCTCCATTTCTGTGATGTTTCACTTTGGAGAACAGTCTCCAGATCCACCCAGGTTGTCATATAAGATCCTAGATCTCCATTTCCCTTCATGGCTGAGCAGTACTCTATGGTGTGCACACACCATATTTTATTAAACCATGTGTTGGTGGCACTTTGGTTGTTTCCACATCTTCGTGATTGTGAATTGTGCTGCTAAAAACATTCAAGTGCAGGTGTCCTTTTTATAAATTATCTTTTTTCCTTTGGCTATATACCCAGCAGTGGGATTGCTGGATCAAATTAAATGGAGAATTTTGAGATGGGAAGATTATTCTGGGAAGACTATTATTGTATGTTTTAGTGGTGTGGAGGGAGAAAATTATGGTGAACCAAGAAGTAAATGAGAAAAAAGAAGATGAAAATAATAGAGACTTCTATTTATGTAAGGTTAACAGTAGCATAGAAAAATGGATAGGTTGTTTAACATATCATCATTATACAACTTAGGTTTGGTACATGCATGTTAGAAATTCTTTAAGGAAATTGATGGTTTTCACATGACTTTCAGCAATTGCTTCCAATATTTACTTTCTGTTATGTCACATGTCTAATTTTGTGAACATTTTGAGATCTGTACATGGAGTATTTTCTAAGTACACTTTAGAATTTTCTCTTGTAACTGTTTGCACTGATGAAATTACAAAGTCTTTGTAAAGTGTCTACAGTGATTTTGGCACTAAGGGGAAACAAGCTGTGTCACAGTAGCCTGTTTGGTGGAAGCAGGGAAGTGCGGGACAGGGAGCTGATGGCCTTTAACCAGGATCTTTCACTTATTTTACCTTTCAGATGATAGGTCATTCTACTATCTTGCCTCTTTCAAAGTCACAAATATCAAATACAAAGAAAATTATGGAGTGAAGTCCTCAAGAGAGTTTATAGAAAGGAGTCATCAGATTGAAAGAATGGTAAGCTCCACAGACTTTTAAATCATCTATGAATGTGTCTTCCCTAGTCTGAATGTGAATATTGTAGGAAAACAGTCTCTCTGTGCCTCAGCTTCTTCTGTAAAATGAAGATGATGTAGTATCTAAATTATACATTGTGAGGATTAAATGACGTAATATGTGTTAAATATTTACAATAATGTTGTGCACCATAAAATGTTTGTAGTAGATCGGGGAAGGCAGCTGACTACCTCCTGAAGAAATTGTTGGTTGAAATAAATGTTTTCCCCATTTTTAACTCTTGATTCTACCTTTCTTGATTCATTTTCCTTAACCTTCTTTAACATAAGGTTTGGATCACATAAACAGATGTGGTGTGTCTACAATTCTTGATAACAGTTTTAAATTAGTTTCGGGTTCCCTTGATAGGTTTGATGACTGAATAGAAAGAGTATTAATCTGCTTCTTTATGATTAGCTGTAGGCTCCATTTATTTTAATTAAAAGATAAGAACTTTGGCCTTCCACCCTTCCCTCTGGTATTACCCTTTCTCAGTATTATAGACAATGTAGGAAAATATTTGCATTACAGTCTATTATTTATCTTTATATAAGTTGATTATAAATGCTGAAAAGCAATAAATCACATTTTCATTTACATATTAATTTAAACAGTATTTGGCATTTAGCAGAACAGGATTTTTTATTTTTTTCAATTATGTTACTAATTATGTTCAATTATGCCATCCAATGAATGTCTCCAGAGTTAAGTTTGAATATGTTCTCTCTCTGTGGCAAAGTCCTCTATTGTGCTACTGTGTCTTCAGATGTTTCCCAGTTCTTGATGTTTCTTTATTTCTTTAAATCTTCCTTCTCAACCTTACCCTTCCTGCTCAGGCTCATCAAGCTCTCAAAGGTGGACCTGGGCCAGGACGGGCTGCTCCTGTGGGGGTCCCTTGCTCCTCACATCCCCTGTGTTTCTGCACATGGTGGGTTATGTCCTCAAGTACCTTCCCTCAGAAAAAGCTCATGGGAGGTAAAATTTCTGAATTAGTGCATGCTGAAAAAATCATTTATTTTGTATTCCATTAAATTGGTAATTTGGATTTAAAACTTGAAATTGAAATCATTTCCCCGCAGACCGCTCAAGGCCTTCTTTCTTTTTATATCTTTATTACATGTGTCTAATAAGCAACTGTGTTTCTTTTTAGTAAGCTGTCATTTCTATAGAAGCTTTTACACTTTTTTTTTTTACATTTTCTGAAATTGTACAATGACACCTCCCGGCCCTTGAGGGTTTTTCCTTTCACTTTAGTTGGCATATTATTGTATTTTTAAAACTATGTAAAACATTTTAAAGAATAATAATAAAATTATTCATAAGAATCCGCTACCCAATTCAAGATACAGAACTTTACCAGTTCTTCAGAAACCTTTCCACATTCTTTCCTTTCTCTTCCTCAGAAGTAAAAGCTGCTATTTTGAATTGATTTAATTATTCTTTGCTGCTTTATCACTTACTTGTGTTTCCCTAAATAGTGTATTGTTTAATTTTGCCTCTTTTGAACTTTATGTAATGGAATCATATTATGTTCTTCTGTGACTTCATTTTTTCCAAGATTACTTGGGTCACCACAAGTTTTGTGAGACCATATCATGGTCCCTAATTTCACTTTTGAGAAACACAGTTGACAGTGTCCTTTCTGAGTGACCAGAGCAGGTTTCAATTTGCTCGGCTTGTCAGTGTTCCTGGGAGAGCTTCCTTTCTTTCTGTCCATGCGGATTTTTATGTTTCTTGCTTTTTTGTACCTCAGAACTTTTGTAGTGGCCCACATAGTATGCTTTAGAGATTATTTTCAATTTTGATACACATAACTATAGTTCATTTATTTTTCACTTTGGTGTAGAATGCCCTAGTGTTGATATACTACTGTTTGTTAATTTATATTATAGTTGACAAACATCCTCCCCTGTCTCCCAGTACACCTGGAGACCAGGTCAACAAAACAAGGGGCTTGATGAGCACAGGCTATGCTCAGATACAACTTAACCCAAACTTGAGAAGTGGTTTTCCAAAATTATTGAAAGCACATGCACCTAGCAGGGCACAAGGGTTCACGTCAGCCCACATCCTTCTCAAAATTTGTCAGTCTGACTTTTCAGTTTTGGCATGCTGGTCTGTATGTGCACAGAAAGGAGTGTCTCATTGAGTATTTTTTCATTTCTCCAGTTACCAGTGAAGATCATTGATGGTGGCCACCTGTTTGTACTTTTCCCTCTGTCAAAGTCTACTCGTGATTCTGTCTATTTCTTACTGCACTGTTATCTTTTACTAACTTATTTCATTGGAAATAATTTTCTGGAAGTGAATATTCCCTCTGTAATATGTGTTGAAACTATCTTTTTCTATTTTTGACATGCCTTTTTATTCCCTTTATATTATATTTTGATGAACAGAAGTTCTGAATTTTAAAATATTTAAATTCATCACATTTCTTTTATTAGTAGTACCTTTTATGTTTGCATAAGAAAAATCCTTTCCATTCTTGATTCCTTATCTTCAAAAAATCTTATTTTTGCTTTTCACATTTAATATTTTATTCTATATTGACATATTTTCATGTGTTTTAGGGATTTAATTCTTTTTTCTCCATATAAATAAACAGTTGTCTTAGCTCCATCAATTGAAGAGTTAATCTTTTCCTGGCTGGTCAACTGTGCCATCCCTGTCACAATCCTGTTTCATCTCAGAGCTGGGGATGCTCTGGGCTCCCTAACCCATTTCGGTGGTCAGCTGTTTTTTTGCTGTGTCAGTACACAATACTTCAATCTCCATAATTCTCACAATAAATGTTGGTACTTCTAGTTTCCTAGGGCACTGTGGCAAATTATCGCAATTCCAAGACACAGAATCTGCAATTGGGGTCATTGAATGATTTATTGACCAAGTGTTTTCAGGAAAAATCTGTGAGAAAATGAGCAGGAAAGGGCAAAGGAAGAAGCTAAATAAAGCTGTGGTTTCAGAATTATAGACTCAGCCTGATTTTTCTGGGAGATCTAAACCCTAGATTAATTATAGAGGGGCTTCTGCCTAGAGGAAAGAAGATTGGGCTGTTTGTCTTATGCCAAAAAATTCTGCCTAGAGAAAGTGTGGCACGACCTTCCAGGTATCACTGGACAAGGTGCAAAGTTCGGAGAAGGAGAGGTTTGGAGAAGTGCAGGGGTGAACTGTTAACCATTTAACACTTAAAGAAGGGGGGATGGGTACACTTGCTCACTAAATGCAATATGGGTAGAGAACAAATATCTGCTACAATTCTTCTTTCAAGAAATTTCTTCAGAAAGAAAAAAAATACATATTTGCTTCAGAAGTGCAAACAGAAAATCCCCACTGCCTTAGGCCTCCAACCATCTAATGCATGATCCTAGTTTTGCTTCTCTTCTGTTTCTCTGAAATGATCTCATTCCTTCCCACAATAGGATGTTTTTGATGGCAAATTGATGAAACCTAATTAATAAAGATAGATATATAACAAATAAAGACTCTTGGGAAAATCTAGAGATTCACTGGTTTCAAGTGTGTCTGGATTTGGGGGCCAATGTCTCTAGGTTTTTATTCTTTCTTTTAATTATTCTCCACATGGCAGATAAGATAGCTAATAGCTATTTCACATTTTCTCAGATTAGTAAATGAAGCAAGAAAACACAACTTTCCATCACTTCCTTTGGAGGAAAACTCAGAGAGGCAGAGTAGCTATGTGCCTGACCAAACTGGAATGTCTGCTTGCTCTGTGCAAGTCACTGTGACTGAGAGGATGAAACTGCTTCCCTCGTGAGTGACGGACGACAGAAGGGGCTCGTTTAGTTTCCTCTGTACACCTGGATTGGCGCAGTCCTTGCACACTCGTTAGCCTGCACGTCCACTCGGATGGTCGCAGGCAGCTCTCAGTTATCCTGCCCAAAGTCCACTCTTGAAAGTTGCTTCCTCTCCCATTCCTTCATTTCTACTTTTTATCCCACTTAGCAAATGCCATCACTGTCCATGTAGCTGCTGGAATAGACCTACCTTTCCCTTCTCTGTGCAGCTAATCCAGTCTCAAGTTGCACACATTCGCCTGCTCTGAATTTTTTCATGTCCTGTGTCTTCCACAGGGATGATTGCCCCATGGCACCTCTATTTCTGTTGCATATTTCTTCTGATCCTGAGACATCACTCAAATATCATGACCTCGGGGACCCTTCCCAGAGGTAGCCCCCAGCCGTTACCCCATATTTCTGTACTGTACCAATCTCCTTTTGTAATGAGTTTATTACCATCTGTCTCTCTGCTCTCTGAGTGTAGGGTCTAAGTCTGTTTCTTCAATGCTCAGTGTACAATGCATATCATGATGCCTCAAACATAGATCATTCTTTCCTGTGTTGGGTAAATAAATAAATTACAAAAAGGAAAGAAAAAGACGGAGTATTTGGAAAAAGGCTTGATGGAATGCAAAGTCAACATTTTTTTCCTCACACTGTTGGTTCAGATGAACCATAGCTGGAGAATCTATTACTGATTAAAATGTTATTGTACACCTGCTTTGTGCCAGGGAGTAAAGAATGCACCATCAGTACAATCCTTAAAGCATCTTTTAATATGATATAAGTATGGACATTATGCATGGAAAAGAACACAAAACGAACATTTAGGTAACAAAAGCACACGACATATGAGAACTTGTTATTATCAACGTGGAAGGAAAATACCTTTGAGGTGGCAAGAAACTGTCCTACAGAAGAAAAGGGAAAGGAATCAGTTCTGCGGGTGTTTTCGCCCTCTGCTGGTGAATTCCCCTGACAGGCGTAGACCTGCAGAGTTCGCCCGGCTCATTTTCGCAGGTGGATTCCCGGGCTGGCTTCCTGTAGCCGCTGCTCTTCTTTGAGGAATCACCTGAGAGCAGCTCCTGGCCGGATGGAGGGTGCGAGCTCCAACCGGCCATGCGTGCACCTGGGCAGCTGTCGCGCTGTGTCGTTGGTGCCACATGTAGTGTTTCAAAGGTGTCATTCTGTGTTTGATGCTGGAGTTCAAACCAAGGACTAAAACTGGTATCTAGTTCTTAAGGCAAACTTTCCCACCTGCATTTACCACGAACCTATACGTCATTTTAAATGGAATAATCTTTAGTAAATTCCGGGTTCCCAGGAGAGAAATATAAGTCTGAGGTAAACTTCTCCAGAGAAGAGCTATAACAATGATTTTGTGTTTGAGGAGGAAGAGTTCCCCCAGCCCCCTCAGAAGCTTGAAAAGAAGCAACATCCCAAGAGGTTTTCTCCTGTGAGGTTTATATTCAAGGGGTAAAAGGCACAGTTGAGGCTTCCTTCCCTAGCACCTCCCTGCTCCCCACCCAGGCTGAACGTCTGTCTTCAATTATGTATGTGTAAGTGCTTCAGGGTTGTCAGGGTCACTTTCTGTACTTTAGCATGAGATCTAAGGCTTCCCTGGATCCATGTCCTGGAACCACCTCAGACAAGTTTGTGTGTGTTGGGCCTCAGTTTCTCCATCTGTAAAACAGGGATGATGGGTATAGTACTTTCCTCCTAAGGTGGTTTGAGGCTTCCACCAGGGAATCAGCCTAATGCTGATGGGTGTGGGGCTGAGAGCAGGGGGTGGGAGATGAGAGCAGGAGGTGGGGGATATAAGAGCAGGGGATGAGCAGGGATGAGCAAGGGGTTGGGGGATGTGCAGCGAGTGGGTGGGATGAGTAGGGGTGGGCTGGGCTGAGAGCAGGGGAGCGAGGCTGAGAGCAGGGGGGTGGGGCTGAGCAGGCCTGCTCCGCCCACACACTCCCTGTGCTCACAGCACCGGTGCCAGCGCACAGGTGTTTGACCTGCAGCCTTTGAAGCATGTGGCTGCGGTGTATTTACCGGTGACGAAGATACTACTTCCTTAGTGATGCCTGATTTCAGTCTTTTCGTCTTTTTCACATACCTGTGGTCACCTGTAGAGTCCTGAGAGATATAGGAAGATAAGGATCATGCTATTTTGAATACCATCGGTCACTGCCTTTCGGTTTGCGCACCGGAGTTTTGGATACTTCCTGCTACACTTGTCTGGACAGGTCTTTGTCCAGACCATATTTTGTGTCTTTCAAGCCTTATTCTGTTTGATGACATGATGAGGGCAGACTGGGACAGAGTTGCAGGGCAGGCCCGGGTTTGAGCCTAAAAGGGAGTACAGAGCCTGCTCCTGCCCCAACAGCTGCATACCCCAGAAAGAAGAGAGACCCAGGGAGCAATTGTGTCTGCTGTTATCAGACCACTCAGCTGGTGGAGCAGAAACACCCTGTGTGCGGTGGCCAGGTCCCCACGTGCACATTCTGACCACTGAGACAGTCAATTTTCTAAGCCTCAGCTATTTTCATAAGAGTTTTCAATGACTATGACTAAAATGGAATCATTATCTCCGGCTTGCAAAGTAAAACTGATGGTCACATATCACGTGTCAAGCAAGTAAGGTGACCTTGTCATTGGACAGTTTTACTCTCCACACGAGTGGGAAGGTATCAGGGGTGCTTCTTTGAGAAACTGCCCTGTCTTATTCTGTGATTAGGAAAGAAGCCATAGTCTTAAGCAGACGTTCTCAGTTAACACCATCATAGTTTCTAAATACTTAAATTTTATTTTCCCTGCTAAAAACACTCTTTACTGTTTCTTACGTTATCTTTCTTCTTTTAGGAAAGCAGCTCATTGTCCTATAAAGTCTTGTTGTATTTCTCTGTTAACGTATACAATCTTGTCACTGAGTGTGTATTAAGTACTTTTTCAAGTCCTATATGAGGTGTTTCAGTGTAAGATTTTATAAAATAAACACCTTAAAATTTAAAGAGAGAGAGACAAAAAGCCAATGAAGGGGGCCAATGAAAGGTTAGGACTGTGAGCGCTGCCATCCTGGCGGCTAGTGTGTGAGGGAACAACAGAGAACCCACAGGAGGGGCAGGACCAGAGAGCAGGGCCACTGTGGAGGCCCCCGCCAAAGTCATCTGACACCACTGCTCTGGGACAGAAGCAAAGGAAGAATGGATTTGATGTGTAGGAAGTAAAATCTACATGTATTGTTACTAGTTTAGAGGAATCAGAGACAGGGAGGAATCTCATGGAGGGGAAGAGAACATTCCTTCCTCCCAGTGACGCAGTAGTCCTGGCTCAGGAACATATGTGGACTTACTCAGCCCTGTTCTTTCTAACTTTCTGTCCAACACTTTTCAACTCCAAGGGAACGGCTCAGCAGTCACCCAGGCTCCTTTTTGGGAAATTAGTTCTCTGAGAACCTAAAATCCTCTAGCGGCTCAGGTTGGAAAGGCTGAGCACTGAAGTCCTGATGACAAAACTTCCTGCCCTCTGCCAATGAGACGGCCAGCAAGTGAGGAGTCAGGGCCACACACTGATGTCCTTAGGAACAATGCCAAAAGGTCCAGTAGTGGCAAGATCACTTAGAAGATCAGTAAATTAGCATCAGTGATGGACTATATGCCATATTCCAGAATGAATATAGACCTTCTTAGAAAAAAGGATGGTATACCTTTTAAAATAACACTTTAATTCCTTTGACAAGGATTAAAACTAACATTATCAATAATTTACTAGATACCAAACAAGATGTGAAATAATTTCTTTAATTCTCAAGTAAACTCTGAGGCAGATATTTGTCTTATTCCATCTTAGAGAGGCTTCCCAAAATGAAATAACTTTGCTATGATTATTAGTTCTTAAGACTCAGAATCCAGGTTTAGTCTCCACACTGTGAGTCAACAAGTTTACGTGTCTGGGAACAACTATAAACCTGTCTTTGTCTAAGTCTCTAGATAAGGCAAGCAGTGACATTCTTCTTAAGACTAACACCTTTTATTCTTCAAATCAGATGTCAAGGATATTTCGCCGTTCTTCTGGAGTGGGTCGCTTTGTCACATCACATGTCATCAGATTAAGGTACGTAAGTAGGTCTTTGCTTCACATCAGCACTGTCAGGGTGAGCTGTTGGTTCACTGTCAGATCGGCTGCCCTGAGCAAAGATTTCATGAATCCTGAAAAGCTGGGCTGTGCTACCTGATCATTGCTCAGCCAAAGCAGAAGGATGTGAAATGCCCTATGACAAGAAAGTCTCAATTATTAGAGAGAAAAAAGAAAAAAAAACTCGGAAAGAGTAGGGTGCTGCTACTAACATCCTTTCCTCCTCCTCAGCTGGGGACCAAGTAGAATACATGTCTTTTTAATTTTCCTCCTTTTAAGTCTACCCAACCATGAGACTTTGACTTTCTCTGCAGTGAGCTTTTTCTTTAATGCCAGTGCATTTTTATTGTTTTTTAAATGTTTTTTCATTGTGATGCTTTGTAATAAAAATGACTGGAACAGAGAGTTAAAAACTATCTTGATTATGTCTTTATGCGATGTCTCTAAGGCTGGGAAATGAACCCTAGTTGTGTGCTCAGGGGCAAACAGACTGGGGCATCTCTGTCACACCACAACTGAAGAATAATGTCACCAGTTTAGGCTCAAAATGCCTTAAAAAGAAGTCTTCAAGGTGCATGTAAAACATGATTTTACAAAATATCCTCCACAGACCCCTCCCTATTGTGGAGTAGGTGAGAGCAGCAGTCATTTCTCAGGGGCTTCAGCTGGCATTTCTAATGCGCTACCTCTATTTCTCTAGCCTGCTTGTTACACTCTGACCTCTATTTTTTGTCTAGAGATCATTTTAAAATCTGGTATGCACACATATCATCCATTACATTTCTTTAAATTTAACGTGAGTGTTACCAGGTAAAAGTGGCTAACAGGGAAGTGGGCGTTACTCACCTGCTACTGCTCTTCAGTCCAGACAAACAAGGCTTGAGCGTCCTGATGGTGTTGACCTTCCGGTACCCTGCCACGGACAGCACCGAACAAATCAGGAAAAAGATTGAAAGAATTTTTTACCAAAATCTAAAGATCAAACAGTTGCCTCTGACTATAAACAAACCATCATTTAGTCTTACAGGTAAGTTACTTGTTTGTTAACTGTTCTTGTTTCCTCCTCTCATAACTCCTTTACTTTTCATAAGGCTGTGGCCACTGTGTTCTTTCATTTTAAGATTCACCACTGAGAAACATGCAACGGTATAGAATGAAGCCAAAATAAGAATTTACTGGGAGGCAGAATTTAGTCTGCATTTTACTAAGGCTTTTGATAATGTTTTTTTAAATTTTCCCATGTAGTATGATGTTGGATCCTCACAGTGGCACCAAGAGGCAGGTATTATTTTCACCATTTTATAAGTAAAGAAGCTGAGATTCAAGGCAGGTCTGAGACAGGAGTTAGCAAACTTTGAGGCCAGAATTAGTCTTGTGTGCCTGGACTCAGGAGCTCTGCAGAGGTCAGTGCTGGCTGAGCTTTCCTGGTGTCAGAGAAACATTGAGAAAGCTCTGCCCCCTGGGAAGCCAACGGTATCCTGTAGGGAGGTTCAGCTTCTTCCAGTTTAAAACTATTTTTCACTTATTTTCTTATTTATTCTTCACAAACTTAAGTCCGGAAAGTTTTTGCTCTGTTTCCTTCCCAAGGTGGACAAAAGGAAGACGTTCATGGTGCTAAAATTGAAACTGCCTTCCAGCTAGTTGGGGTCCGAGCCGGGACAATCCCGCCTCTCTGTGCCGGGTGTGGTCTCAGGATGTAATATGTGCTTCCGATGAGATTTAGAGTGTCAGAAGCAGGAACCATGCTGTTTTATTTTCTTGTCTCTCCCTCAAACACTAGCACACGTCTCACACGTGGGAGGTATTCCAGCTCTGTTCATTGCCTCTCCCTATTTATTTCCAAATTTAGTTACTTTTCATTTAACACAAAAAAGACCACATAGGGTAGGGGGATTGCGCTTGGACCCAAAATTCTTCTCTCCTCCCAATAGCCATGTATTTAGGAAACAGATGATCTACTGTTAATTTCTTTGTTGTTAGAAATCAGGAAAACCCTTTGAATACATTTTGATATAGAAGCCCCACAAATATTAGTGATAACTTTTTTCACAAAGTATTTAGAAATAATGAGGAGTATGGTATCTACCTGCAAGTTACCCAATTATATTCCAAAGATAAGGTGACCAGATTTTAACATTGGTAAGGTGGGACAACATGGCAGGACAGGGCGGGGGTGGGGGAAGGTGGGACAACATGGCAGGGGACCGGGCAGGGCAGGGCCTGACAACAATGCAAACTTTGATAAGCAGTTCTTGATAATCACTTCTCAGCAATTATTTGTTATTATTACAGTTTAACATTATAAAATTAACAAAAATAATATAAAACTCATAGCCACATGGCAGCCGAAAATAGTATATTCCCTTCTTGTTCTCCTGCCCGTTTGTGCATTCTTTCCAAAAATTGGGACTTGTTTTAAAACGCTGCCAGACGCAGGACAAATTGTTGGAAAGCAAGACTGTCCTGCCAAAAGCGGGGGTCACCCTATCCAAAGAAAAACGTGGTAATTTCCAGTATTCTAGAAATGGAAATGTCAAATTTAAAATCAATTCCTAGTAATGTACCTATCTCTACATCATATTATATATCCTAAAGTAAAGTATCCATCACAAAAATGTCATTATGTTATATTTACTGAGTTATTAAAATTGTAGAGTTTCTTAATTTATTATTTTTAAAAATGATGTTTTCACCTTTTTGGTTACATACAAAGCTTGTGATTATACAGATTGATTTAATACCAAAATAGACATATTATATGACCAGGATTGATAACAAAAGTTCAACTGTGCATATTTTCTCCTGCCACATATGTGTACTTTATTAAATAAAGAGAGATACACAGGAGGCCTCCAGGAGGAGTTGGGCTCAATTTCTCTTTGGAGATAAGCCAGTATTCTTGAGAAAATCTCTATGTAATTCTCCGTTTTCTCACTGACAAACAAAAAGGTGATTACCAAACCAACAAAAAGGTAGTGAAGTTGAAACAAATAGGAATGAATAAGTTTGAAGGGAAATGAGGTCACAGAGAGAGCACAATGCATGGGGCATGTGCCGTGGGGTCCTGGTTTGTGGCTCCTGCCTGGTCACAGCCATCCAAGGCAGTGATGGTGAGGTGACTGTCAGGCACAGAAGGTCACCAGCCCACACTGCTTAAATCCCCACTCTATTAAACAAGGGCCTTGAAATTGGGTCATGTACAGGAAAATGAAAATCCCCACCCCTGAGCTCTTTATTGCAAAAAGGAAGGTCACACCTGGAGGCTGAGCCATGTGATATTCTAGTACATATCTGTCACTTACTCTGTGCCCTCAGCCAGCTCCCAGAAAAGATGAAGAGCCTTGGGCTGAGGGGCTGACCACAAATGCCAACACACTAGTCACAGCCTCAGGGCTGCTGACTGAGTCTCCTCAGACAGAGGCAAGGCTGGCTTCAAGCTCCCCTCAGGTGCACAACAGATGGGATGACATGGGCGTTCTCCCACCACCAGGGGACACTGCACAATCCTTCCTTCACCCCTTTTCTCTTTAGACATTCACCTTATCTTGGGTAAAATGCAGCCGTCCCTGGCCTCACTGCCCATCCCTCTCCTCGATTTTCCTTCTGTATGTCCTGTCACCTTAACCCCTGAAGATAAATCCTTCTCCAGAAAAAATAAAGATGCATATGGGGCTGTGTTTTCCTGGGTGTGTCCCTAGACTGACTCTTGCCCTCCAGTGACTGAGATCACTGTCTCAGTGGCTTATTCCATACAGTCAGCCCTGAGGTGTCTGTGACATATTCAGATTTTTGGAGTGTTCAGGTCACAGTGGCCGCTGGGAAAATGCCTGGATCACTGGCCAACACCAGCTATGACGGAACTGGCAGCGACTTCCTGGTACATGTTGGAGCCACCAAAGAAGGCAGTGAAGGATGTTCACATTGTTCAATATTCCTTAATTTTCTAATTTATTTTTCTGTTATCTAAACAAAAATCACAAAATAAAATGCCCTCTGATTATATTTTTAAGAGAGATTATAAAATTTAAAATAAAAATCAAATCTTGTCAGAGTAAACACATTACTTGGTTATGAGAAATGTTTTGCCTTTTGAAAGGTGTATGCTTTGGATATTTAGCATTTCTATTAACTACCACTGACCAAAAAACATGAAAATAGAAATATGTTCTTCTACCAACTAATTCATATTTTGCTTATTTCAGCTATTGACGGCAAAAAGATGAGAAATCTTCTCAACAGTCGTAAGTTCCAAAACCCACAACTTACTTTAGTTCACAGTAAAAGTAATTAATAGAATCCATGGAGAGTTAGAAGTACAATTTACTAACTTACTTTTTGCTCATTTTATATCTTTGTGAATCACTCAGTTCTTTTATTATTTTTAACATTTAAAATAATTAAATTTATAAATGTATACAAAATACATTATAAGTTGTTTGATGTATGGAATTGGTTAAAAAAAGGATGATATTCTAGATATTACACTACTGTTCTCTGTAAATAATTCTTTTAACATTATCTCATAATTCAAGAAAATGTTTTAAACTAGCAGCTAGATTTTTTTCTCGTTCAATATTTTCAGTTTTCTTGCATCTTTATTGAAACATCTGTTACATGCGTTTTCTGCCTCCTCCCACTCTGCCCTCCCTATTCCACCCTTGGCACATAGCTAAGGTGCATTGTGGGCAAAAATATGCCCATTAAAAAGATTGTAAGGGCATTTCCAAATCTCTTTAAATGTTGATTTGAAGTCTAATCAATTGAGAGTTTGCTATTAAGGAGTAATATTTTTAAACCAGTATTTCAAATTATAGAAGAACAAAAAGGTGAATACTATTTTAGACTTAAGATACGGGGCTTTGCAAAAATGATAGATTGATTCACTTCAGTTATGTGATGGGCAGCTCATGACTTCACCAATAGGCTCTCTAGGTAGCCAGAACACCACTGGCCTTGGTGTGGGGCACCCTAATTTTAAGTCTCACTCTGTCACTTACCAGCAAAGTTACCTTCAGCCTCTCTAAGGCTTAGTTTTCTCATCTAAAAAGTGTGTTTCTACAAATACATCTAAAACACCAAAGGATCTACACATTTTTGATGCTCAGTGAATTATCTGTCTAGCAAGCTGTTTATCTATGTGTGCTTTATAGAGAGACAGAAGTTAATTCCTGGATTGAATGTCAAGAAATGTTAGTAAATATTTCATGTGAACCTCAGTAGGATCTAAAGCAGCGGTTCTCAACCTGTGGGGCATGACCCCTTTGGGGGTTGAATGACCCTTTCTCAGGGGTTGCCTAAATACATCCTTCATATCAGATATTTACATTACTATTCATAACAGTAGCAAAATTACAGTTATGAAGTAGCAACAAAAATAATTTTATAGTTGGGGGTCACCACAACATGAGGAACTATATTAAAGGGTCGCAGCATTAGGAAGGTTGAGAAACACTGATCTAAAGGAATGTAAAAGCCTGAATGCTAGGAATGGGTTAAAAAATTTCAGGGACCAAGGACTATCTGAACATCTAGACCCAGTGCAAATCAGGATTGCTTTTTTCCTCTTGCAACGAAAACACATTAACACGTATTTTTGTGGCAGGCTGTGGGATAAGGATGACCTCCTCAAACATGCCATTACCAGCATTCTCCTCTACTGAAAGGATCGTCCAAGGACGGGAAACAGCCATGGAAGGGGAGTGGCCCTGGCAGGCCAGCCTTCAGCTCCTGGGGGCCGGTCACCAGTGCGGGGCCAGCCTCATCAGCAACACATGGCTGCTCACCGCCGCTCACTGCTTTCGCAAGTGAGTCCCCAGGTGCGGGACCCCACCTCTCTCAGCCCTCACAGGCAGCTGGACTGTCACCAGCTTACCCCGCACCCTGTGTGGGTGGCCCCAGTCTGTCCGACACACATTCACTCCCCTGTGCCCCCCTCCCCTCCCCGTGGCCTTGGTTCTTGTCGGCTGTTTCTCTGGGTCAACATGACCCCAGTGCTGTCTTTCCTGCCACACCACACTTCAGTGTAAAGACTAAAGAACCTCTTAAGCACACCCCAGAAGAAAATTAGCTGCTTCCATTCTGCTTTTCATTTTCCAATGAATCCCTCTCACCTCTGCTGTCAGCATCACCATCTCTTCAAAAATAAGAAACGGATCACAGATATTACCCCGAAGCTCTCCCTTCTCAGTGTTACCAAGAATGGCTGAGGGCTTGTGCGGTCTGGGAGGTGTGAGGAGGATGGAGGGGACCTGCTACTGTGTCACTGGGGATTGACCCCCTAGGAGCTCTCACTGTGTCCGCCACACACAGATCCTGGTGGGTGCCCTGTGCTATGCCCCAGGAGCTCAGAGACACACTGTTTTCCTCCACTGAGTTTTTATTGTTAGGGTACAGAAAGCTTTTCCTTTTAAACTTTCAAAAGGCAAAACCTCTGCAGGAAGCCCCTTCACCTGGCCGGGCTCTGCTTAGGCCTCTCTGAGGAGTCTCCCTCTGTGATTCTGGAAGGCTTGGTATCATCCTGGCAGGGGCAACACCTCAACAGTTCCAACACACTTTTATTATCACTCTCTGTGGGGTGTAAGAAGGTCCTAATGGATGTCAGGGGATGTCCCCCACTTCCTCCCCTGGTATTTACAACTCCCAGACTAAGAGTCACCCTTGGAGGGGAGCTCAGTCAGGCTGACTGTTGAAGGCTTTCGATGGTTCTGTCCACACAGTCTTGCAGTCCTTGCACTTCTGTTTTTGTGAGCTTGCCATGTAGTTGCCATCAGTTCTAACTGATTCATTTGTGTAAATTAACAATAAACAAACCCTGAATGCCCACTTTACCTTCTGTAGAGAATATAAGCTATGATACCTGCACACTTGTTTCGGCAGGCCCAGTGCACTCTCTGGGTATGGACAGATCTGCCTGAGAACTGGTCATTTATCTTAGTCAAGTAGACATTACCGGTGACCTTGATGAGAGAAATTTTGGTGGCATTGTAGGAATGGGAACAAATTCAAGAGAAAAGTGGAAGGACCTTTGGATGTAGTAAGTTTAAAAACCACTTTGAACAAGTTTTTATAAATGAAAGAAAAACAGAAATTTGACAGTTGAAGGCTCAATTTCAGTAGTGAAGTCAAAGAAAGGATTTTTTAAAATATAAGAGAAATGCAAGAGCTGAGTAAGGTGATGCTCATGGAGAAAAGGACTCAAGGTGGGGAGAGGGTGCTTCAGTTATTGCACATGTGGTACCTTTTGTGAAGGGAAAACACTTGGTAGTTCAAGGACAATATTGCAGTCTCCAAATAATTTTTAAATTTTGTTAATTTTTTTTCTTGCATAAATACTGCATTTAAAAAAATGTTTACGACAAAACCTTAACACCTTTGTGTCTGTGAAAAATGATCTGTTTTTGTGAGACATTGTATGTAACAGGAAAAGTCCTTGAAAAGGTGTTAAGAGACCTGTGACCTTCCCTTTAATGCTAACTGATCGATCAACCCACCACTCACCTGGCAGGTCACAGGACTTCTGATCTTAGCATCCTTCTCCACACAACACACAGACTCAGCTGTCACAGGAGACTTCCTCCCCTTTGACAAGGCATACAGGAATGGAATAATTCTGTTCATTCTACCCCTCTTTCTTACTAATCTGTGAACTCTTTAAGGCCTGGAGTCATATAAGTCTTTATATCTTCCAGAATTCTACTATGTAGAGAGTCTAGTTTTCACATGAATGCTTCAATCCTAGGGTTTTGCTTTGATTAAAATCTTCCATTATCAGGTAAATAAGAGAAACAGATCAAAGAAGAATCTATCTCTCCTCCCTGATCTCTGCCTGCTTATTCCTAGGGCAGCACAGAGTACTTTGAAAACCACTAATATTTCAGGTTTTTTATTACACATAAATGTTGATGATTCACCAACATAGTAATCCCACATGAAAGTGGAAATCCCCTTTTTGAATTGTTCTCCCTGTGACTTCCTTCCACATAATTTCCTTCACTCACAGAATTTCAAGTTTCTATATTTTTCCTAGTCATTCTTGATAGGAATAATTTTAAAAAGAAAGAATGGGACTTTGGAGATAAGGAGAAATAGCACTACATAGAATTTGCTTGTGATACACACCTGCTGCAGAGAAAAGCATGTAGGTGAAGGGGAACCACAAGTCCACCATTAGATACTGACCAGGCCAGGCTAGAGGGCAGCAGTACTGTGAACTTGGGTCAAGGCTGCTTAGCCTCAAATGCCAGGGAGGGGCACAGCCCTGTGCAGACATGAGGTTTGCAGAGCGGACAGATTATACTTGACCTCAAAGATTATAGAAGAGCCCAGCAAACAAGAGCCAAAAGTGAGTCAAGAAGTGAGAATGGGGCAGAACTCAACACGGGGGCCAACAATGAGAGTGGGGCAGGACTTGACATTGGGGGGGCACCAGTGAGAGTGGGACAGGACTTGACATTGGGGGGGCACCAGTGAGAGTGGGACAGGACTTGACATTGGGGG